AATCTCACTTATGAATATAAATGTAAAATCCTAAAATATTTAAGATTAACACATAAAATTCAATATTATATTAACATAATAACTATATACCACAACTAATTGGGGTTTATCCCAGGAATTAACACAAGGTTAGGAATTAGCAAATTTATTTATGTAACAGGTCAAAAATAAACCAAACAAGAAAAACATTTGATCATTTTTATTTATTTATTTTTTGAAGTATATTTTATTGATTATGCTATTACAGTTGTCCCATTCTTTTCTCTCCTCTTTATCCTCCTCTGTCCAGTACCTTCTTTCCCTCCAGCATTCCCCATCCCTTAGTTCACGTCCATGGGTCGTATGTATAAGTTCTTTGACTTCTCCGTTTCCTATAGAATTCTTAACCTCCCCCTGTCTATTTTGTACCTACCAATTATGTTTCTTATTCCCTGTACCTTTCCCCCCTCTCTCTCTCTTCCCCCTCCTCACTGATATCCTTCTAATGTGATCTTCACTTCTGTGATTCTGTTCCTGTTTTACTTGTTTGCTTAGTTTGTTTCTGGTTTTTTTTTTTAGGTTCAGTTGTTGATAGTCATGAGTTTGTTGTCATTTTACTGTTCAGTTTTGATTTTCTTTTTCTTAGATAAGCCCCTTTAACATTTCATATAATAAGAGCTTGGTGATGATGAACTCCTTTAACTTGACCTTGTCTGGGAAGCACTTGATCTGCCCTTCCATTCTAAATTATAGCTTTGCTGGATAGAATAATCTTGGATGTAGGTACTTGGCTTCCATGACTTTGAATACTTCTTTCCAACCCCTTCTTGACTGTATGGTTTCTTCTGAGGAATCAGCTGATAGTCTTTTGGGAACTCCTTTGTAGGCAACTGTCTCCTTTTCTCTTGCTGCTTTTAATATTCCATCCTTATCTTTAACCATGGGATTATGATGTGTCTTGGTGTGGTCCTCTTTCTCTTTTGGGTCCAACTTCTTTGGGACTCTCTGAGCTTCCTAGACTTCTTGGAAGTCTATTTCCTTTGCCAGACTGGGAAAGTTTTCTTGCATTATTCTTTCAAATAAGTTTTTGATTTCTTTCTCTTCCTCTTCTCCTTCTGGCGCTCCTATGATTCGGATGTTGGAACGTTTTAAGTTGTCCCAGAGGTTCCTAAGCCTCTCCTCATTTTTTTGATTCTTATTTCTTCATTCTGTTCTGGTTGAATGTTTTTTTCTTCCTTCTGCTCCAAGTCGTTGATTTGAGTCCCGGTTTCCTTCCGTTCACTGTTGTTTCCCTGTATATTCTTTTTTCTTTCACTTTGAATAGCCTTCACTTTTTCCTCTATTTTGGACCATACTCAACCATTTCTGTGAGCATCCTGATTACCAGTGTTTTCAACTCCGCATCTGATAGGTTGGCTCTCTCTTTGTCGCTTATTTCTTTTTCTGCAGTTTGGACCTGTGCTTTCATTTGGGACATATTTTTTTGTCTTGGTGCACTGGTCTGGATCAATGTTTCTTCTTTAACTCATTAGTTGTCAGACTTCCAAACAGTTCAATTTCGGAAGTTCTGGTTGTTTATGTTTTTTAATTGGTTGTTTCCTTCTTCTGGTTGTGCGAGGAGACAAAGCTTATCTACCTACACCTCCATCTTGGCTGGAACTCCTCAGCCAGGAAAGTATTTGATCATTTTTAATAGCCACCAAAGAGAACATGATAAGTTAATTCCACTTTCTATAAACAGTCTTTTAAAATTTTTTTAAATGTATTGATTTTTAGAGAGAGAGAGAGGAAGGGGGGAGGGGAGAGAGAGAAACATTGATTTGTTGTTCCACTTATTTATGCATTCATTGATTGATTCTTGCATCTGCTCCAACCAGGGATTGAACCCATAACCTTGGTGTATAGGGATGACACTCTAACCAACTGAACTACCTGGCCAGGGCTCTATAAATATTCTTAATATTCTTTATATATAAATGCATATATGTATATATATGAAATCAACAATTTATGTAAACATAAAATAAAACAAGACTGTCTAGTCTCATCACTGTATTTAATATTATTCTGAAAAATCCAATTTAATAAGGCTGGAAATTGAAAAAGGGGGTGTTATAACTTTTGGAGAGGCAAATTTATCATTGTTTGCAGATGATATGTTGTATACATAGAAAATACATGAGAATCAATTCTAAAATAATGAGAATTAATAATGGAATTCAGAGATGTCACTTGATACAAGACAAATATTGAGTTGCCAAAAAGTTTGTTTGGTGTTTTTCCATAAGATGGTTCTAGTAGCGCTTAATTGTTTTTAATTTAATTTGAAACAATTGTTAGATTTTATTGTGACAGCTGTCATATCAGTGTGTGTTAAAAAAAATCAAAACTGGTAAATTTTTGTGTAGCCATTTTAATGTTGAAGATGGAAGAAAATAAACAACATTTTTGGCAGATTATGCTTTATTATTTCAAGAAAGGTAAAAACACAACTGAAACACACACAAAAAATTTGTGCAGTGTATGGAGAAGGTGCTGTGATTAATTGAACATGTCAAAAGTGGTTTGTGTAGTTTCGTGCTGGAGATTTCTCACTGGACAATGCCCCAGTCAGACCAGTTGAAGTTGATATTGATCAAATTGAGATATTGAGAACAATTAATGTTATACCATACGAGAGCTGACATACTCAGAATATCCAAATCAATAAATTTATTGGTGAAAATGAAAAACATGTCTTTTATTTTATGGAAAAAAACCATATGGACTTTTTGGCCAACCTAACATAAAACATTTGTAGCCTTCTTATATACTAAGAATAACTGATTAGAAGACAAAAATCAATTTTGAAAAAATATCCCAGTAACATGATAATTAAGATCACAGCTTATGGAGCCAGATGCCCTGCTCATTCATCTACTAACCACGTGAACCTAACCCCTCTGGCTTGTTCCCTCATCCACAAAATGGGAATGTAAGTCTCATAAAGCTATTTGAGAATTAAGTTAGTTAATACAGTGAAGTATTTAGAACCTATTCTGCTCCTAGGAAGCCTTAAATGTGCCTTAGCTATTGTGTTAGTATTTTCTGCATTCATAGTGGTTATAATAACACCACCATAAAAAACTTAAGCTGTTAACTTTACTGAAAAATGTGATGAATCTGTGTAAAGACAATTACAAAATTTTACTGAGATATATAATGAAAGTCTGAAAAAAAATGGAGAGACAATCCATGTTCTTAGAAAAAGTGAGTCTCATAAAGATGTTGATTCTTAACCATCGATTTCCAGTTTTTAGAACATTCAATCACAATTCTAATGGAATCTTGTTAGTTGATAAAATGATTCTACAATTCCTCTGTAATAAAAAAAGACAAGCAAAGAAAATTTTTAAAAAGAAGAGGAAATATGCCCTTTACCTCAAGCCCTTAAAGAAAAATAAGCAATATATAAGTAAATAAAGGGTTACCATGTGCAAGAATAGACAAAATAAAAGAGCTAAACCAATAGCCCAGAAGAACACCTGTCATATGTACATGGGTGTGTGATTAAATATATAACTTCAATTTGTGATATAACAGCTAACATTTATGTTGCCCTTATTTTGAGTCAATTCCTGTGAAAAGCACTTTACATTCACAAGAACCCCGAATCTTCACAAGAACCCTGTAAGGTATAAGTGTTATTCATCTATGGGTGAAGGAACTAAGTCTTAGAGACATTAAATGACTTGCTACCCAACGTAGAGACTTAAATGGGGTCAACGCACCCAAATCAAGTGACTCTAGAGTCATTGATCTTAACCCTAAGACGTTATCATTTATAATTTCCCTTCTAGAAAACTATCCTAGACAATCTTCACAAACTAGGACAAAGATTAATTAAGAAAAAAGCTTAGTGTAGCATTTTTTATGATTACAAAGAAATGTAAAACAACAAGTTGGATATTCTATAGGGATATGATTTAAAAAATCATCCATGCAATGAAATCTTAAGCAATCAGTAGAATGTTGTCAGAAAAAATTTAATAATGTGGAGAAATGCTCATGATATGCCATTAAGTGATACAGATTACAAATTGTACAAACAGAATGACCTCAGCATATAGAAAATATTGTACTTTCCAAATTATTTATAATCATACTTATATGGAAAAAATTTTTTAACGTGTATAAAATCTGTGATCTCTGCCTGGTCTTTCTGCTTGTTTACATCTTTTTCTTTTGAAGGCCTAGCCAAGGCTCCCCTGCTCCGCAGGCTCCCGTAACTGACCAATCTTCAGCAGTCACTCTTGCCTCATAGCAATAATGTAATAGTCCTCCTAGGTGGATGAATATTTATGAAGCCTTACCACATGCCTGGCAACTTTAAATGTATTATCTCACTTAATCTTCAGGACATAACCTTATGGGGTAGACATTTTTAATATACCCATCTTGTAGATGAGAAAATTGAGATTAAGGGTCTTGAAAAAAGTTATACTTCAATTAAAAAGCCAAACCCGATTGGTGTGGCTCAGTGGGTTGGGCATTATCCCACAAACTGAAGGGTCACCAGTTTCATTCCTGGTCAGGGCACATGCCTGGGTTGTAGCTGGGTACCCATGGATGTTTCTTTCTCCTCCCTTCCCCTCTCTAAAAATAAATTAGGTAAAATCTTTTTTAAAAATCTGAAGGGCCAAAGAAAGAATCCAGTTCTAATTCCCAACTCATTGCTTTTTGTTTTACGATGTTTCCCAAAATGTGGTCCAAGGACCTTGGGAGCTCTGTAAGACCTTTGTGCAGACATACTTTGACACTAGCCAGGGCCCTCCCTTGTTCTAAGACCATGGAAGTTGGTTTCTCTGTGATCCCCTCCCACCCTCTGCTTTTGGAAAAAGAAGTAACCCTCAAACCACACCAGAGGGAACCAGGAGCACAGTGGTCTGTGTCCTTTCCTATAACAAGAACTGGATGCCTAGCTGCTTTATCACCATACCCCTACTGAGAGCCACAGTGACAGAATAGTTACCACCTGCCATAACATCTAGCACTCCTCTGCAGACTGTAGTTCTTCAAGAGCAAGCCCAGTTTTAATCCACTCTTGCTCTCTAAGAATGAAGTCCCAAAGACTCCACGTGGGTAGGCTGGCACTTCTCCCTTCCACCCTTTGTGTAAGCACTGTAGATCTGTCTTTTGTTTATATCTACTCAGTTCCCCCTCCTTACACTCACAGCCTTTGATACTCTTTTTCCATCTTTGCCCAAAGGAAAAATGACTAAAACCTTAAGACTCAATAGTATCACTTTATTCAGAAGATAATCAAATACAATAAAGGGCTGACACTGGAAAAATAGCTAAATATACTGCATAAAAGTATATAAATCACCCTGGCTGGCGTGGCTCAGTGGATTGAGCGCCGGCCTGAGAACCAAAGGGTTGCTGGTTTGATTCCCAGTCTAGAGCAGATGCCTGGCTTGTGGGCCAGGTCCCCAGCAGGGGGCGCGCAAGAGGCAACACACACTGATGTTTCTCTCCCTCTTTCTCCCTCCCTTCCCCTCTCTAAAAGTAAATAAATAAAATCTTTAAAAAAAAATTATATAAATCAGATACATTCTCCAGAAGAGATTCAGTCATTGTAATCAGGAAGAGAAACCAGAAGGTTTGTAAATGACTGCAGTGTTTCAAGCAAGTGTCCCATACTCCCTTGAGTGAAGATGGCCCCAGGTGGAGGTCTCCTTTTAGCAGGAAGAGGAGGAGGCAGCATCAGTGCACAAGCCATGCCATCTGGCCAGCCACATTCAGCGGTAGGCCTTGTTGAACTCCTGAAGTGCCCAGCGTTTGTTCTCAGTTGCCTGCTTGAGTTGGGTGTACTCTTTCACCAGCCTGTCAAACTCCTCCCCAAGGACTTCATAGGAGTTCAGGACCTGTCGGGACTTCTCCATGTCCTGTTCTTGTAGACGAATGGCCCCCTCCAAACGGTCCCTAAGAGCCCAGGCACAAAAGGTACAAATATAAGGATCTGGCTCCTCAGAAAGTAGACAAGAATGGGAACATGTTAAAATGAATGAGTCTTGAGAGTGTGGGAACCAGCTATGAATAGCTGTACCAAGCTCTTAGGAGTTCTCACCTAATGAGACGATGAACTTCCACTTTCTCAGCAGTATAAGTGTCAGACAGAATCTTTAGCTCCTCCATCCTGACAGAGGAAAGAAAGAAATGTGAAGCTGAGGATCCCTGATAGGAGCAGGGTTAGGAATGGGACACAGTACATGGCCATGGTCAAAGATGTTGGCTAAGCAGTGACAGGTTAAACAGGTCACTCTGAATTCCTAAGCAGGTTATCTCATAGTCACCTATTTCAGAAAGCTTTAAAATAAAAGAATCAAGAATATTGAAAGCTTTGGGGTAATCCGAAGGCTAATACTGCTGTATAACATTTCCTTGTAGATCCCGACAAGGAAAGAGAGGTAAGGGGGGTGGTTTGTCCTTTAAATCCATAAGGGTCATAGCTCACCTCAACTTAAGGATCATGGCACCACACTTAATCTCCAGGTACTGGGCATTGATGCAGTCTAGCTCAGACTGAGTCTTTAGCCGGTGTTCTTGAAGAAGTCTCTGCAGTAAGGTGAGGCAGCGGAGAAGCACCTGAACTCCCAGGAGGCAGGAGGAAGAGAATGTAAAGAAAATATAGAGAAAAAAGCAAATCAGAAATCCATGTCTTCCCCAAAAGTGTCCCAGAGTCAGAGTAAAACAGGGGAGGCTATCTCACTGCTCTAACAAACCTGGGAGTAGGTGGCACTCTTCTTCTCCAGCAGCACCATCTGGTCCTTCTGCTCACTCTTGGCATCCTGGCACTGCTGCTTCTCACTCACCAGGACCTCTGCCAGTTTCCATGCCTTTGCTGCCTTCAGGGTTTCACTGTCTGAATCTGGGCAAATAGAACACTGAATGGACAGGAAAACCCTAATTGCTACGGCCCTTCTAAGGCCATTTTTCAGTGCCCCTACCCTACATCTAGCCCTAGAAATTCTGTCTTCTTCTAGATTTTCTTCTGATGTCCTATTAAAAATGGCTCAGTTCTCATAATTATGTTCTCTCTTACCTTTAATTCCAGATTTGGCCCTTAATTCTTAAATCATAGAGATAAAGACAAGGGGAACACCTATTAGCCTGAACTTTCTTCCACATTCCACTCTGATTCTCCTGAAAATGAATTCATCCTTCCCTGCAGCAAGAGGGCACTCCAGTTTGGTACATTATGAATAAAAGGAGTTCTCACAAAATTTCTTGCTTTTATTCTACCAGCAAGGAAACAAACAAACATCTCCTGTGTCTCCTATGCTTCCCAGATTCTGTTCCAAATCTAAACTTCAAACATTATTCTTAAAAGAGCAGCCCAGGAGCCCTGAGGGCCAGCTGTGAACAGACACAGAGAACCAACACTCACCAGAACTGGGATTGTGGTAGCAAAGCAAAGTGAAACATTTCTTCTTAAGCTGTTCCTCCACTTCGAGCGGGAGCCGGGCCCTCATCCACACAAAATCCTACAGCCACAGAAACAAAAAGAGATACAAACAGACTGTTAGAACTAGGAAGATCCAGTCAATGAATACATAACAATCTCAGTGATAACCAAAGGAAATGCATGAAGAGACATCAGGGGAGATTCATTTTTAATGTTTTAATGTAAGGATGTGCATAAAAATAAAACTAACAGGGTGAATCACCAGAGCACTGTTTATAATAGCAAATGCCTGAACAAGAAAATTCATTATTAGCCCATCAAATTAGCAAAGAATAATATGATTGTCAAAATCCCATATTGATGAAAATGTGGGGAACTAGGGACACTGGAAACACCTTTCTGGAAAATAGTTTGGCACTATGTACCAGTATGTTCTATATATGTATTCTCTAACCCAGTGATCTCACCTTGAGCACTAATACTTGGGAAAGAATCATACAAGGGCAAAGACACGTATGTTCATATCAGTGTGGTTTCTTACAGCAAAAAAATGTAAAACAACTTTAACATCCATCAATAAAGTTAAACAAATTATGCTATATTCATACAATGGAATCTGGTCTGTCATTTAAACCAATGATATAACAATACTGAGCACTAACTATGTGCCTGGACACTGTGCTGAGTGCTTTAGAGGTTGTCATCTTATTTACATTTATTGACTGACTTGAAAAGAAGTCCAAAATATATTAAGTGAAAACAGATTATGTTCTCTATACAAGCATGGAGAGTATACTATTTATGTCAAACTGTATATATTTCTAGATGTAGCATTTCAGCCTTTACTTTCTTCTGTGTAACGTTTTTCTTATTTAAGTTTGACCACCAAGGCCCTGACACGCGTGGTTCAGTGAGTTGAGTGTCGTCCAGAAAAGCAAAAGGTCACAGATTTGAATCTCTTTCAGGGCACATGCCTGGGTTGCATGCCAGGTCCCCAGCTGGGGGTGTGCAACTGATCAATGTTCCTCTGCAACTCTTTCTTCTTCCCATCCCCTCTCTCTAAAAATAAAATCTTTTTTTAAAAAAGTTTGACCACCGTGAATGTATACATTTTTAAATATTTTATTTATTTATTTTTCAGAGAGAGAGGAAGGGAGGGAGGAAGAGAAGGAGAGAAACCTTAACATGCGAGAGGAACGCTGACCAGTTGCCTCCTGCACACCTCCAACCAGGGACCAGGCCCGCAACCCAGGCATGTGCCCTGGCTGGGAATCGAACCAGTGACCCTTTGGTTCACAGGCTGGCACTCAATCCACTGAGCCACACCAGCCAGGGCAACATATACATTTTTATAAAAACAGTAAAGCTTAACAAAAAAAATGTTTGAATATATAGGAGAAATTAAGCCAGTATTTGTTCACCCCCAACCTCTGAGGGTGGCATGAGCTCCAGAAGGTCTGCTTTCTCCAGTCCTAGCAGTGAAGGAGTCTCCCTCTCCTGGCTAGGACCTAACAGCTGTGTTAGTTCAGTCACGAGTAGCCGCTGTTCAAGGGTCTCATGAAACTGAGAGAGAGAATAAAAACAAAAAGAGGTTACTCTAAAACTTCTTTCACTCACCTCTTCCATCCTCACGAACCAGTTCTTCACACATTTTCAAAGTTCTCAAATATGTCATCTCCTTCAGATAAATTCTCAGCTGTCAGTGTCTTCTCCTGTTAATCTTTCTTTTCAAAATCCTGACAACATACCCACCTCTTCCTCGGATAACTACTGTCCATTTCTTTTTGATAAGCTATTATATGAAGCTTCTTCTTCCCCCAGGTCATATAATCAGACAAAACCATAGTTGGCCTGCTTATTTCTGTGGAAAACCACCCCTACTTTATCTCTCCTGCCTCACCTTTTTGTCCTCAGAAGTTAAATTTGCATCTTGTATCTTCACATAGTAGTCCACAAGCAGCTCTTGAATTACTCTATGTAAAATCTCAGACCTCAGCCATGTTGTCTTGTGGAGTCGAACTTCCTTCCATGCCTAAAAAATTTTTTAAAAATCCCAAGGAGGAACTTCTCTCTGAGATTTTTCCTTCCTTCTATCATCCCTTCAACCAGGGCTCTTACCTGAGCCTGCTCCTTTGCCAGGGAGAGGCTTAAGCCACTCTCGTCCACATGTTGTGAGAGACTCAGCAGCAGTTTGCTGAAGTGTGGGTTCTGTAACAAGTCCTCTTCACTCAGGTTACAAGGAGGAAGCTGTTTGCCGCACACTTAATGGGATGTCCCCCATTGAGACAAAAAGCAAAGAAGGTATGGACTCTTATTTTATATAAATGATCATAACTCTTAGCTTAATAGTCACTTCCAAAAAAACGCTAGGTTCCCTTCCCAAAAGGTAGGGAAGTTTTCTAATTCTAATGAAATTAAAAAATATATATCCACCAATAAACTAGAGGCAATACTCAAAGTAACAAGCATCTGTATTATATACAAGGGCATTAATCAAGAATTAGGAGACAAGTCTCTAATAAAAGGTCTTAGAAAATGGAAATGCAGTCTAAGAGTATGAGACAAATAGAAATCAAGAATAAGGGACCCTTTAGTGGGGTTTACCCCAGTACACAAAATGTCTCAGTCACTCAGAATAACTAAGTTCTTGAGGAAGGGGGAAAAAAAAACACACACATGCAAAGTTCCAACTTGGGATATAATCTCTAGTCTCATAAGCAGGACAAAGTGCATTCTTCTTAAAAGTAAAATAAAATTTTTTTAAAGATTTTTACTTATTTATTTTTAGAGCAGGGAAGGGAGCGAGAAAGAGAGGGAGAGAAACATTAATGTGTGGTTGCCTCTCAAATGTTCCCTACTGGGGACCTCGCATGCAACCCAGGCCTGTGCCTGACTGGGAATTGAATTGGTGACCCTTTGGTTCGCAGGTCAGTGCTCAATCCAGAGCCCTGGCTAAAAAAGTAACAAATTTAACTAACCAAATTTCTCTTTAGAGTAAATAGAGCTGGGTAACTCATGGGTATGCAGAATAGCACATGTATGACAGAAAGTCAAGAAACTGGGATTCTGTTGTAATTCCGTAACGTCAACGGGCTTTCTTCCCATCTCTTTTCTAATGTGCTTTCTGCTGGGTCTTGTTTTACTCCCATTTACCAAGCATTCAAATGTTCATTCTTTGGAACATCATACCCAAAGTTCTTTTAGAGAATAAGAACTCTCTTTTTTTCCCTCACAAGGCAGAAGGATCGATATGGAAATGGTCAGAATATAGAAGATTCAAGTCCTTGAAGGATTCAAGATATAGAAAGGATTTGGGATATGGAAAGAATTCAAGATATGGAAAGATCTGAGATTTTAGAGACAAGGTATGAAAAAATTCAAGCTATAGGCAGGAAGAAAGCCTTTAAGTTTTCTGGCCCCCCTTATTTCCTGGATATGCTTGCTCAAACAGCATGGGAGCATCTTGAGTTTTTAGTATACTGCACAAGCAGATACTAAACAAGAGTCAGTGTAATCTGTTTCCCAATAAGACAGTGTTTAAGAATTTTCATGTATCCCAATTCCCCTAGAAACATAAGCTTCTGTGAGAGGAACAATACTAGTGAACATTATAAATACTTTTTATTATAGAAGGTAAGAACCTGGATAAGACCTCTCTGGATAAGTCATCAGAACTCTCGCAAATTGCTATCCTTACCTTGTTGAAGTATTTCCATCCCCTCTCCAGGTGAGCAGAAATCCCCAGATGCCATCTGATATTCTTATCTTTGGAATCAAGTGAGAGAAAACAAAAAAATGAATGAACTGGCTGGCTGTTCCAGAGGAAACTACCTTGGGTTCAAATGTCTGTTGTCTATGAGCTGAAGAGGAACCTCAGGGATGCCTTTTAACAAGGACGATATCCCACATCCTGGGTCCCAAGCTCTTATACAAGTTTTATAGACAAACTTATCAGTGGCAGAACATTTTGCATTCTAAACACATATATGTTTCCACTTACTATAAGCTGCTTAAAAAGGAGACTCCTTAGACAAGAAAACTTTCCAATTCACTAGTCTAAGCAGGAGGATGCCCCCTAACCCCACCATTATTTCTAAGCTAAAATTGAGTTGCTGTTTCCCAGTTATTCAAAGTCTGCTTCCCCAGCCCCCTAAATCACTGTTATTAAATTCCACAATAGTCTCTTGCACTTCTTTAACTTCTTTCATCTAAGACATGTTGGTAGTTTTGATCATTAACTCCAGAAACCGCTTCAGCAGTGACAAATCATTCCACATTTGCACAACAACTGGTTGTTATGTTTGCACATAACAGCATTAGTGAAGAGCACCTAGAGGAAAGAACATGACAAGAAGATACATATTGCCAAAAGAGTAATGCAAAGGTGTAGTTAACACAGCTGAGGCCAGGACATGGGCTGTGGGTGTTCTGCCAGAACACAGAGTACACTAAAAAGAATGACAGCAACACGAAGGAGCAACAGAGATGGGCAGTTTGGGCTTTGGAGACAAATTTTTCCCCTTGACATTATTTTTCATTTTGCTGCACCATCTCCCCCTCCGAGATACCAACTTCCAAAGGACAGCTGTGCCTCCCAGAGCAGACATAGATTGTCGTTACGATTTAACACTTCGCGATCACAGAATATTTGGTTTATGAGTAACATCAAAGGAACTACTCGTTTTTTAACATGGTCTAGAGCGAGATGCAGCTAAGGAGTCAGAATGCTAGTACTTAATTTGCAGCTCAGCCATTGTTCTGTGTGAATCTGAGGTAAATGATTTTTTTTTGTGCCAAACCTCTTTCCACCTGCAGAACTGAGATGAAGATTCCAGTCTTAGAGAGACATTAATAATTAATAACCTTGTTAACAGAAGCCACTACTAAGTAAGCTCCGTGTTTTCACAATTCTGTTTATCGTTGACCTAAGCCTGCAAATAAAAGTTCTACAGGCAAAGTTCACACACGAAAGTGAGGACCACCCTAAATTTCTAAAAAGTGAGCTGATTTGGCCTCCGAAGAGGAACTTTTCACTTGGAATTTTTCTTTAGGGTGCTTTTCTTTACCCTTTTTAAATGTTAGAGGGCGTGAACGGTAGCAGCAAACAGGCTCAATTCTCCACCCTCTGCACTCAAACGTGTTAAAAACGCTGCTACAAGGATCCAAGCATTTAAATGTTCTGACTCAGGCGTCTTTTAAATTCTTAGAGCTGTCTTTACACGCTGCACTGAACGTTAAATTGATTTTACAGGTATTTTCACAAGATGTGACCCTTACAGGGCCCTACATGAATCAAAATGCGGAGAGGGCTCTCCGGCGTCTACTTCCCTTTTGTCTGGGCAGCCAGTTTCCCAAGGCTGAGGGCGGCCCCAGGCGCGGGACTGGCCGAATTGACCCTCCCAGGGCTCTTCTTCCCCGCAGGGCCGCCCGCCGGCCCTCTGAAGCAAACCTGCACACCAAGGGACAGCTGAAGCTCCCGGGGCAAGGCGGAGCCAAGCTGAGGCTTCAACTACCCGCGTCCGGGCTCCGGAACTTCTCGGGTCCCGTGCTGAGGTGGGCGGGAAACGAGGCCTGGGAGTACCGCCGGGGCGGATCTGAGAGGAAAAAGCCGAAAGAGCCCCGGAGGCCGCGTGAAGTCGAGGGGGCGGGGCCACGCTGGAGGCGGGAACGGCAGGTCCCACCCATCGCCGGGCTCACGTCTTTAGACGCCCACGGCTGAAGACGTACGAAGGCCGGGGTTTGGAGTCTAGCAGTCCCAGGAAGGCTTCTTTACCCTTTCTCCTGTACCTACCCCATGTTGAGGGCAAACGTTGATGAAATGGTAGTGATTGCCAACTTTTATTGAGGGCCTTTGATGAGTCAGGTTTTATGTGGAGCGTTTTACTTCCCTTGCTTGGCCTCATTTACAGCATCCTACGAAGAAATCACTATCATACCTATTTTACTGAAGGGAAAACTAAGGCGAAAAGATGTTAAGTGACTTGTTCAGTGTGGCGCTGGCCCAATGTTTCAGGGTTGAAACCTGACCCAATGGCCCTTTGAACCTTCTCAGACCTGCCGCTCATCCCTACCTGAGAGTCTCCTCACTCAGGCGCCCCGTCAGCTCTGTTCCCTGGGTGGGCTTCTCCAAATTCCTCCTCCAAGAGCCCCTGGCCTCTTCTTTATCTCTCACCCTTCATTCACCCCTCTCTCTTTTTCTTTTAACTATGTGGAGATTTACTGTTTGCTTAACGATAAGTCTGGAGCTGAGGGTCCCAAGACTTCTCAACACATCCCAAGCAGGAAGGAAGGGGAAGAGGAGTTCTTCCTATAACAGTAGGGCAAGAAATTCTTTCCCAGAAGCACCCACCAGACTTTCCCATGTTTCATTGGCCAGACTAGGTCACCTGCCCAAACGTAGACCAATAAGCTGGATATCTTCTCTTTGCCCCCCAGATCCGTATTCTGCCCTCAACACCCTATGTAGCTGGTTAGAACTACCTGTAGGATCTCAGGGTCGCCATATTCCCTGACTGGTTTCAGCGTAGAAGTATCCCAGGAAGAGGTTGGAGGGAGAAAAGACAATGATGGAGGAGGGGGCCAGTTTCCCTGACTTCCTCTATGGGCTTAACCTCAAGTTGGCTATGGACTTCAATGAAAGGTTGTTGTTCCTCTCAAGGGGTCTTCCCCCACCTTCCTGTCTTAAATCTCACCATCATCTTCTTTTCAAAGTTGACTGAAATCTGTCATTAGGTGAATTATTTCAAAAATATTTGATGCTAAGTAAATTGCACCAAGGTTAACAAGTCTCTTGCATCAGAGGAGAAGCTGATAGTCCAACAGATAGGGAAGGCGTGCTAGGTGGTAGAGTTTAACCTTTTCTTTTAGTACCAACTAGAGAATTATTCTAGCAGTACATAGAATAGTGCAATCCAGTGCAGAAATTTTATATCCCCAGTCATCTTGTCAGCTGCCACCTTTCATGGTTAATACTAAAGTGCTGTCATTTTCTAACGCTTTTAAAAATTATTTATGCTTCCTCAGCTCTGTATCGTAGCATCATTAAATATCAGGCATAATGCCCCTAACAAATGGCACTTGGGAAAAATAGGCATGTTTGGATGACTCAGGGCTGGTCAAGAATCTACTGAAATTTCTTGTCTCATATTTTTCAAGTTTTCTTATATGTTTCTACAAAGCTTTGACTAAGCAGCTGTAAAGTATTTGGGAAATGAAAAAAAAAAGGGGGGTAGAGTGGAGAGTCATGGGATGCCTTGAATAGGATCAAAGCTTCAAATGCAATTATCTGTCCCATCTCTGTCTCTGACAAACTGAGTGACCTTGAGCTTCAGCTTCCTTATCTGTCAAAAGGAGGAAATAACATATTTTTTTTAGCTCCTCCAATCTCAGTGTTGATGTAATGATCAAATGAGATAATGGCTGAGAAAGTACTTTGGAAAGACTGTCAAAGTGAGGTGATTTAAAATTGACACTTATTAAGCATTTATTAAGTGCTTTGGGAGAGACACAAAGATAATATATAACCCAATCCCAGATCTGAAGAGGTTCAGAATCCAGTTGAAAAGATAAGACATGCACACGGAAAGCAAATAATATAAGCAGCAAAAAGGTGTCAAAAGAGCAGTTTAGATTATAAGTACTAGAGAAACTTGAAAAAGGTACAGAATTCTTTCTGCAGGAATGGATAGGAACAACTATGAAATAAATCCTGTCTTAGCTGGGCTTGAAAGGAGAGAAAATTTGGATCACTTAGAATAGAGGAAAGATCCCAGCAAGTGGACATAGAGACAAAGAGTCCAAGCTGCGTTCTGGGGCCAAGAGGAGACTAGACCAGCTGAAGCGCTGGATTTCATAAGCCAGTTCTACATAAGACTAGAGAGTTGAGCCAGTATACCATCCTGGCAGTTAAAAGTGAAGCAAAATACTGAAAAAGGATCTTATAATCAGACACCATCTGGTGTCCTTGAGCAAGAAAGAATTGCATGAGTCTGTAGAATTCATTCTCTTTCTTCCCATTCATACCCCACCCCCAATTTTTGTTCTGGCTTTTTTTTTTTTTTAAACAGCCTTATTGAGATAGCTTGGCATACAATATTTAAAGTATACAGTTCATTATGTTTTGACATAACTATACATCTGTGAAACCATCACCACAATCCAGACAGTGAACATATGTATCATCCCCTAAGTGTTTACTTTGCTCTACTGCAACTCCTCTCTCTGATGATTCCCAACCACTGATCTGTTTTCTCTCACTATAGATTTGTATGTATTTTCTACAATTTTATATAAATGGAAACTTTTTTTGGCTCATTTCACAGCGTAATTAATTTTGAGATTCATACATGTTATTGCTAGTATCAATAACTCATTTTTTAAATTCATGTCTTTTTATTGCTGAGAAGTAGTGCAGAATCCTCTTTGAAAACTTTAATTTGTTTGGGTTTGTATTTAAGGAACTGCTTCCTCCAAGACTCCAAGGTGCCCATCTCAGTGCTTGGCATACAGAGGCACTTATTTGTTGAAAGAATGAATTTCTGACCACTCCCAAAGTGCTAATACTTTGTATAGTGGTGGGGGGGGGGTTTGGGGGGGGAGGTTGGGTTTTTTTGCTTGTTTGTTTGTCTTGTTTTGCTGCTGCTGTTTTGTGGAATGCTGGTCTTTATTACCTGTCTCTTCATCAGTGTTGTTCCTCTCACGTTTTGCTGTGCCATATGCAAAATACAATCATTCACTTCTTAAATGTCCTGTAATGATAAAGCCAAGAACATGCTCAAATATTCCTGAGCTAAACTCTGGTGTGGGGTTGGTGAGGTATAAAAAGACAAATTAGGCATAACTCCAGCCCACAATCCACTACTTTGTTGAAGAAGTTGCTCTTGATCAAGTATTTTAAAAATATTCATGTATGTTTTTTTCTTTTCATGTATATGTTTTTAAATTTGAAAAATGTAAATGGGAATCTGAGAAAAAGTCTACTTAACCTTTCAGACATAGGTATTCCTTTGCGGCATTGTTTAGAATTGCAGAGGAGAGCCCTGGCTGGTGTGGCTCAGTGGACTGAGGGCCAGGCTGCAAACCGAAAGGTCGCCGGTTTGATTCTCAGTCAGGGGACCCGCCTGGGTTGTGGGCCAGGTCTCTAATTGGGAGTGTGCGAGAGACAAACAATCGCTGTATCTCTTGCACATCGAGATTTCTCTCCCTCTCTTTCTGCCTTCCTTTCCCTCTCTATAAATAGGTAAATAAATAAAATCTTTTAAAAAAAAATAAAGAAATAGAATTGCAGAGAAGAATGGAGACTTGCTGAGACATTGC